GGGGTGGTGGTGGTGGTGGTATCCAGTGGATGACTGCAGGCAGAGGCATTGTGCATTCGGAGATGATAGGGTCAGCAGAGGAGGAGACCCATGCTTTTCAGTTATGGGTGAACCTTGCAGCCAAGGACAAATTGTACGTTCAGCTATGGTACTGGTAGCACTCTTCTTTCTTTCTTTGTTTTATTTTTTTGTTTTTTTTTTGTCTTTTTGTGTGTGTGTGTGTGCGGGTGTGTGCGGGTGTATGCGTGTGTGTGTTGTCATGTTCGCTATACACGACTCGACCCAAAAAAAGCATGCATGACTGTCTTTCCCAGGATGCATGTGACTGATGGCTAAGAGGCTCGCCACACAGGTTGTCGAATGTCGAAAATTTTCGACAGGTGTCAGAAAATTTTCGACAGTCCGGCCGTCGACAATTTCGCCCCCCTTCGCCACATCGCCCCCCTTCGCCACATAGCCTGTCAAGAGGCGAGGTTGTCGAAAGTTGCCAAGTCGACTCAGCCTTTCGACAGGTGCTGTGTGGCGAAGGCGGTCGGCTGTCGGGAGTTGTTACATGGATGAATTTCTGCACGCAAGCCGGACCAGATGCAGACGCCGTTTTCGACAGCCACTGTTGACTACATACGGACAAACAGGCCATGGCTGTCAGGGAGCAGTCGCTGACAATGGAAAATCGGAGGCGTTTTTCGAAAGGCGGGCGGGCCACTGTCGAATTTCCATCACCTGCAGGCTGGAGGAAACGGTTGCTGAAGGGCGGCTGTCGAAAGTGCCATCCTGACACCTGTCGAAAGTTTTTTGAGCCGCAATTCTTCGAAAGTCTGTGTGGCGATGCAAAATTGTCGAAAACGGTAAACCGGGTTTTCGACAGCCTGTGTGGCGAGCCTCTAAGGACCCGTCACGTCTCCCGCAGACTGCCGGTTCAAACCCCTGACAAGTCGGTTTAAACTTTAAACTTTAAACACGTGACAAGAATGGCAGTAAGTCTGAGAAACTAGTACGTCACAGCCATAACCCCCCCCCCAAAAGAAAAATCAATAATAAATACTAAAATTAGAACAAGGGTTATCTGAATAATCTTGTAATCTGTGTTTACTCTTGCTGGCGTTGCCAGCAGAAATGACCCAGGACTGACGGTTCCCAGACGGTTCCCATAAATTAAAAAAAAGGAAAAAAAAAAGGGGAAAAAAAAGGAAAAAAAAAGGGAAAAAAAAAAGGAAAAAAAAAAGGAAAAAAAAAAGGAAAAAAAAAGGAAAAAAAAAACGAAAAGAAAAAAGAAAAAAAAAAGGAAAAAAAAAAGAAAAAAAAAAAGAAAAAAAAAAGGAAAAAAAAAGGGAAAAAAAAGGGGAAAAAAAAAGGGAAAAAAAGGGGGAAAAAAAGGATTTTTTTTTTTTAAAGGAAAAAAAAAAGAAAAAAAAAGGAGGATATGGCATGGTGTAGGTGGGAGCGATTTGCAGGAAAGCATTGTGGACCACTGCACTATAGGCACACACTGTTTTCGGCGAGGGTGAACCTGAATAGGGGTGCATGGGGATGGAACTGTGAATCCTGAATAGGGGTGAGAGGGGCAACCATCCCTCCCACTCATATCTGCTGTTCCACTTTCTGAATTCACCCTATGTATGGTAAAAAGATTTCACACTGTTTGTGTTCTGCATTCAATTGCAAACAGAAAATGACCCTGGATTTCTCTCTCTGTCTCTCTGGTTATTGCCATGTGGCATGGGTGCATATCTCTCTCTCTCTCTCTCTCTCTCTCTCTCTCTCTCTCAAACGATGAGGGCCCCTAAAAGAGGCCACTTGATAAGACCACTCAGATTGTCAAATAATGGAGCACAAATTTGTAACATATGTGTTTGCTTTTTTTGGGTGGTTTCTCTCTCTCTCTCTCTCTCTCTCTCTCTCTCTCTCTCTCTCTCTCTCTCTCTCTCTCTCTCGCTCTCGATCTGTCTCCAGAATGGCACCATCATATCAGGAGATTCAGGCGAAAGATATTCCTGTTGGGGAGGCAAGGGGGGTGAAGGTAGTGGTTATTGCAGGAACCGCCTTTGGCGTCACCTCACCCGTCTTTACTCAGGTCCCAATGATGTTTCTAGACTTTAATCTTGAGCCAGGTTGGGAGATGCATCAACCAGTTCCGGCGGGCTGGAGCAGTTTTATCTATATCATCTCTGGGTTCGCGATCTTTGGTGCAAACCGTGTGAAATCAGGACCCCATTGCACCCTGGTGCTGGGTCCTGGCGATGGAATTACCGTGAGGAACGAGGGCCGCGAGGACTGTCGTTTTCTCCTTGTTGGGGGATCGCCACTCCGCGAACCCATCGCGCAATCTGGACCGTTTGTGATGAACACAAAGGACGAGCTCCGGACGGCGTTTCTCGATTATCAGTACGGAAGAAACGGGTTCCAAAAGGCATCCCAGTGGAGATCGCGACATCGCCAAGGAGGGAGCTGAGTCAGCTGACTGCCACACGGAATGAAACGGAACGGAGTGTGGCTGACTGAAGTGTGAGACCAACACCAGTCAACACCATGGTACTCCCAGAGAGCATTCTCTCTGAGCATTCCAGGAACCTTCCCCGAACTATCGGGAAACCAGCGCCAAGCGAGCTGATTTCCGCCTCAAGCTGCAGCGTGCCGCATGCGGCGTATGAACTATAACGTCAGTAAGACACGGTCATCGTGGTATCGCAAGTCCGGAGAGAGTCATCTGTTTTCTTTTTCCGTAATCCGTTTGCATGCGTCTGACGCTGGTGTGCTTTTCAGCATCCTCCAAGCATGGCCATGATCCGGACTACGTATGTCCTTCCTTTGGATCGATTGTGTCTGGAGAAAGACGTTCAAGGAACACAGAGGTATAAGAATCATAGGAGAATATTTTCCTCAGGTGGTGCTTTTTCAGCTGTTTCCATCTAGGAGAGTGAGCAGGGCTCTTGCCTCCAACCAGAACCAGGACCAGGACCAGGGCCAGGATCAGCACTGTGAATCTGGGTGAGCATATTGCCAAAAGTTGCGTTGGCCGCCGCCTCTCTTTCAACATCCCTTTGAGGGCGGTTGGCGAACGACAACTGGAACACTGTGTGATCAAGCACACACTGTGTGTGTGTATATATATATATATATTGTCACATCACTACAAACTAAAAGAGCGCACTTTGCGAAACAAAGAATAAAAGCAAAAAACGGGCACAGTGATAACATGCAAAAATAAAAACAAAAAGAAAAAACAAGGGCAGATTGAAACCATTAAATTTCTATATATATATATGAGTCGGTGAAACTCCGACGAAACAGTTTGTCACAGCCCCGCGTTTGTTGTCCTCTTCTCCCTCTCTGCCTACGGTTTACCGTCGGCAGTTCTATTTGACGATATATATATACCACACAAGCATTGCTAAAACGAGCTAATCCAAGCGCGGCGCCGCGGGTGGCGGCTATTTGTTGATACAATGCTGCGCGAGAGATTGTGTTAAACCTCAAATCTATCAAACTAGATGCGATGCGATGCGCCAATGCATGATATGTTTCTTCTCTCCAAGCCACGACAGCAATGCAGCGCAGAAGAAGTTGTGCGTCCTTCATGAAGGGGAATCAACGACCACAATCAGCGCATCATGGCTGCAGCAAGGAGCAGAAAACCAAGTGGATCTATGATGCGGGGTTGTGGTATGTCCATACGTACAGCGCTCAGGCGATCGATCGACTCGTCGAACGATTGTGGAGCAATGTGGAGATTGCAAAATCGCCAAGTCATTACGCACGTCAAGTGCGCAGCATGTTTTTCGCATCGTTGATCATAGAGACTATCACGGTAGAATCAGTGACTGAGGTGAAGTCGTAACAAGGTAGCCGTAGGGGAACCTGCGGCTGGATTGACTCCTTTCCAATATACATACCCAGATTTGATTTAATGTCAATCTAATCAGACTAGTTACCAAAGGCGCGAAGCACAATTCCAAGTCTACAATGCGGGGTTGTGGTATGTTCATACGTACAGCGCTCAGGCGATCGACCGACACGTCGAACGATTGTGGAGCAATGTGGAGATTGCGAAATCGCCAAGTCAAGTCATTTGTTGACAAGGCTGGCTTAGGTTCTTGTATAATTTCGAGGGAAATCGTCATACCGATAAAGCTGCTAGTGCCTGGAAGACTCGTCGCTTGTAATAACAAGTTGTGAAAATTCACCGGCCTTGTTTGTTTGTTTGTTTTTTTCCAAGCATTCAAAATAATTTTTAAATTTTTTGTTTTTGTTTTTTTGTTTGCCAAACATTTTCCAAGATTTGCCGCATGAAGTTTGGCGAGACACACTTGCCCCATAAGGAGACCTTACCTTGCAGGATGGCGTTCCGCGACAGAGGATAAAGTCATGCTCTTTTTTGTTCGTCTACTGTGCTCTGAAATCAAAGACCCTCTTCGATAGGGCATCGCCTCACCTCTCTCGAAATTTGCAAAATGGGAATCAACTTCCCACTAGAACATGACCAGATGCACCCGCCTCATTTTTGTCTTTTTCACATTTCGAGAGCGGTGCGGCGAGGCCCCTAGTGTTTCAACTAGGGCTGGGAGGGCTTGTCCTGGCCTAACGCTGGTGCCTGCCAACTGCTGTCCAGTACACCGGAGGTAAGGGTCGACAGTGCCCCCCGTAGACGGAGAACCAGGGGCTACGCTAAAGAAGAAGCACGTTGAGGTAGGAATGAGGTGGCTCCTGTCAGCACCCCAAAAAAAAAAAAAAAACTCGAGGGGTTAGGCAATGTTGACGTAGGACTGGGGTGGGTCTTGTCAGCACCCCAAAAAAAAAAAAAAAAAAAAAAAAAAAAGAAAAAAAAAAAAAAAAAAAAAAAAAGAAAAAAAAAGGAAAAAAAAAAGGAAAAAAAAAGGGAAAAAAAAGGGGAAAAAAAAAGGGAAAAAAAGGGGGAAAAAAAGGATTTTTTTTTTTTAAAGGAAAAAAAAAAGAAAAAAAAAGGAGGATATGGCATGGTGTAGGTGGGAGCGATTTGCAGGAAAGCATTGTGGACCACTGCACTATAGGCACACACTGTTTTCGGCGAGGGTGAACCTGAATAGGGGTGCATGGGGATGGAACTGTGAATCCTGAATAGGGGTGAGAGGGGCAACCATCCCTCCCACTCATATCTGCTGTTCCACTTTCTGAATTCACCCTATGTATGGTAAAAAGATTTCACACTGTTTGTGTTCTGCATTCAATTGCAAACAGAAAATGACCCTGGATTTCTCTCTCTGTCTCTCTGGTTATTGCCATGTGGCATGGGTGCATATCTCTCTCTCTCTCTCTCTCTCTCTCTCTCTCTCTCTCAAACGATGAGGGCCCCTAAAAGAGGCCACTTGATAAGACCACTCAGATTGTCAAATAATGGAGCACAAATTTGTAACATATGTGTTTGCTTTTTTNAAAAAAAAAAAAAGACGAAGAGAAAGTCTGAGAAACACAAAATGCATTGACATTGGGTGCCCTTTTGAATTTACCTGAGATGATAATACCTCAAGGCCATCGCCCTTTTACAAATACATTTAAAAAAATGCATTGAGAATTGAGATCCATCGTCATGACAAGGGACTGTACAAAACGGATGCATTCATCATTTGAGTGCAGTGATGGTTTTTTCTTTTTTTTTTAAGCCCAGGGTGTTGTAGATTCTCTGCACTTAAACCACCAGTAGTTTTCCCCGTTGAAAAAAACAAATATGCGTCTTGTATACGGCCACAACTTTCGGGGCTCCGCAGTGGCCAAAACGAGGCCCGGGTCGTTCCATTTCTTTTGGGCATGCATTGTCATGCAGGGCATTTTCGGGTTCGGTGCCAATATCTGGGCGAGGTGCTGGTGGTTTAATTCCACAATTTCCTTGCCAAGGGGGGTGGGTAGATTACTCCTACCCATACTTGCAAGCGGACGGTCCAGACGAGCGTCCGGTCCGGTCCGCTTTGCCGCCCCCCCGCACCGGACGGACCCGGACTGGACTGGACCGGACTGGACCGGACCGGGTGGGGCCGTTTTTCTGTTTTTTTGGGGGGGACGGGGGGTTAACTGGTCGTCGGGCGCACATCAGTGCGCCGCGCGGGTCCGGTCCAGCGGTCCGCCGCACATGCAGAACCGCGCGGACGGTTTCCGCTTGCAAGTATGCTCCTACCAATCCGTCTTACCAGGCACTGTCCTTATCGTTGTTTGGAAGATGAACACAAGCAAACCTGGCAACGCATCGGGCTCCGCAAGCTTAAACCACCAGTACTTGGCCCACCTATCAGCCGCGGATAAAAAAGGAGTAGAAACATTTCTAGTCGGATGAATCTGGGCACTCCTGTAGTAGTAACCTGTACGTTTCCAAAATTGTGGCCCGTTAATGGGCACGACTCTGGGAAGTACTGGTCGTTTAAGAACACACACAAGCAAAACTGGCAATGCATTCAATACCGCAAGCCTCATCCTCAAACGACCAAGAATGCAGACGATTTATCAAGCATTGACGATTGACGATTTATCAAGCATTGATGATTGATGATTTATCAAGCATTGATGATTGACGATTTATCAAGCATTGACGATTTATCAAGCATTGATGATTGATGATTTATCAAGCATTGATGATTGACGATTCGTCAAGCATTGATGATTTATCAAGCAGTGATGGTTGACGATTTATCAAGCATTGATGATTGCCGATTTATCAAGCATTGATGATTGACGATTTATCAAGCATTGATGATTTATCAAGAGTGCTCAGGAACTGCTCGTCCCTCCTTTTCCACGCTGGGCTAGAAGTTAATGCTTGTGTTCGGGGGGGACGATTTATCAGGAACTGCTCGTTACCACCAAATTGGAGCCTGCATAATCAGTTAACACCATCCTATACCAATGCGAACCAAGTTTACGCTAACCGCCGTTGTTGAGCCCCAGCCCTGCCGTCTTCCCCCGAACATAACGCACCCTAAAAATGAATGTACGCAAGTTACATTTCCGGCCAGATACAGCCGAAGTGAGGGTGCGTTGTGTTCGGGGCGAAGACAGTAGGGTTGACCATCCCAAATCAACAACAAAAATTCCAAAACCACAAAAACTAGCCTAAGGCACGCAGCAGCGGCGGCCTCCTCTTACCTTGTTTTTCGCTTTTGTGCTTTTGGGTGGGTGCGCACCTCCCCTGCCAGGCTGCGACTGCAGTCTTCAGGACCCCATCTGGAGCGGTAATGGGGGTGGGGGTGGAGGCATAGTTAGCCGCGGGGGTGCGGGATGTGAGTCGAGGGCAAGTCATTGCTGGATTTGTGTGTTTGGGGATGGGTTTTGGGGTTAACAGGTAGCGATGGAGGTAGTCATTGCTGCATTTGTGTGTTTGGGGTTGGGTTTTGGGGTTTACAGGTACCGGTGGAGGTAGTCATTGCTGGATTTGAGTGTTTGGGGTTGGGTTTTGAGGTTTACAGGTAGCGGTGGAGGTAGGATGTGCTTCTCTTGGGCAGGAAGGAGGGTGGTTGTATTGGGCGGTGGAAGTCAGTGGGGGGCATTCGGGATGACGGGGATGTATTCAGGTGCAGGGATGGCGGTCGCTCGGAGGGGGAGTGATGGTGAAGGGTGAGGGCACAGGTGTGGGAATGAGGGTTGCGGGGGTGACGGCCGGAGGTGAGGGTTCCGGGGCGGGGGTGCCCGCAGGGGTCGGTCCAGGGGTCATGGTGTGGGGCTGGGGGTGGTCACTGCAGGGGTGAGGGTGCCTGCAGTGCTTGGGATCCGACAGTGATGAGATCCGGGAATCTTTTTCTGCCCCACGGAATGACCATTTTGAAAAAATGGAAAAGGTTACATGCATTCCACTTGACAGCGGATGCAGAGTCCGACTTTCCAAGTTTCCACCCCCTGGTGCCCCAGCTTGGCCCTGGGAGTTCCCGTGCGACAACACTGGCGTTAACGATATAGTAATTTGCAATCCGACACACTGAAGGAGAACACGAAGCACCGCTGTGTGGGGCAAGTATCGAACAGATCGTGGCAAGTGCAAGTTTGCCAAACACAAGGTTTTAGTACTTAATTCGCCAGTCACTTTCTCAGCTATCGGTGCCGAGCCTAGGATGGACCTGCGAATAAAAAAAAATAGATTAAAGAGAAAACTAGGCTACCGGAGGGCTCGGGGTCACTTGCCCGGCCAGGCCAAAAAAAAAAAAAAAAACTATTTTTCAAATTTATTTTTTATTCTAAATTTGGTGAAGAATTTTGATGTGACCCCGAGGCAAAAGTTATTCAGTGTGTCATCTACCTAGACTGGAAACAGCGGCTTGGAAAGCCCACGAGTCTTAGAGCTGGGGTGTCATGGTTTCAGAAGCATTGGGCCGCTTGCCCTTCTTTCGCCACAATTGACACGAGCACTGGAGACTTCCAGTTTGGATCTTTTCTAAGGACATCATCATAATGGGATCAACTCACAGGGACCTCAGCAGTGGATCTCCATTCAAGTTTTCTCTTGATATGATTTGCCAGCCTTCGATTCTTTCAGTAACCTTTTTTGCAGTAACTTCTGTTAGACAGACTCCTGGCTTGTAATGGTAAAGTCGTAGACAATAGTTGTAGATATCGCCATGATGGCAGTTTCCTCCTTGTTTTACAATTCTGGTATTTTAGGTATTGCTAATTAGTAGGCATATCTTTAGTTTTATAATCAACTGTAGTTATTTTTCGAAGCTTGTAATTTTTCTACTAAACTCCTGCCTTTGGCTACAGGGGAGGGGCTCCACCTCACAGAGAAGGATTGGAGACCTTGCGACCCCTGAATCTGAAACTCTTTTCATATGTTGTATGTTGCCTTGGGGACTGGACAGTAAGAAGGAAATTCTCAAAAAAAAAAAAAAAAAAAAAAAGTTATTCAGTGTGACCCGAGGCAAAAGTTATTCAGTTTATTTTTCTGCATAACATTTTTTTTTTCGGAGTTTTCGGATTCCTGTTTTTTTTTTTTTTTTGCTGGGACCTTCCCTGGTCCTTGCACGGGCTGGCCACCCGGGACCCGGGCAGCCCGGCTGGTAGCCTAGAAAGGTAATAAAAAAAATGGACCTGCACACCAAAAAAAAATGAAGCCGCGTAGGCTTCGTTTGGGCGCGCCGTTTCCCGCTAGTGCCCAGCTCGTGCGCCTCCCGTGTTAACCGGCGACAGGCATTTTGTTTTTCAAGTGGGGAAAGGTACTGGTGGTTTAAGCTACTTTGTCACACCTCAGGGGATGCATCCTCGTTTCTGTACACTTTGTCACGTTTTATGTGATTCGTCCTCTCAACCGTTCAAGATTTCATCACATCTTAGGGGATCCGTCCTTTCGAGCCTTCAAGATTGACCTGCGCCCGCCGACAACAGAGACTTCTTTTTCCCTTGGTTTGGCGGCGGGGCTACTACAAATCTTCCACCCCCAACCATCCAAACTGAAAAAGTACCCTACAGTTAAATCACTATCCTATATCTCAAGCCAACGAGCTGGAAAAGCACCCTACAGTTTAATGGTTGTTCATAAAGACTGATCTTCGTACCGGTTACCATCAGACCGGAATTGCTGGAGAGGACCGCACCTCACGGAGTATATCTTGCGTCTAAACTTCTCTCTAAAGCTTTCATAAAATAATATCCGATTTCGAAACTGGGACATTCCGCTAACGCGCCTCGATAGTCAGCTAGTTGAATTACCAATTGAACATAACAAGGTGTAGCGCAGTCTGGTAGCGCATCTGTTTCAGGTACAGAGGGTCATAGTAGGTTGGAGACTGATGGCTAGACCACCTTCCAAATTGTTATGAACATGATATTCCATAGTTCATTAGGGATTTCTATTTTCCCGTACCTTCGGAATATCCTGATCCATAGTAGTAGTAGTAGTACCCTTCCGGAGCATAAAATCATCTTCGGCAGGTTCTCCATCACATGCGTGGCTATCGCTTAGTGGCAAATTGAGAAGTATCTTTTTGCAAAAGAGAGTGCACTTTTCAGGCGGCTACATCTCCATGGAGGGATCTCTTCATGGACGACTCAAAGGTCTAGGGTATTTTCATCTGGCCTCCTACCTCTACATCTGTTCATCAGCCTAGTGGCTTTCTTGACCCCGCGAATTGTATTATATCCATATCACCTTTTTTCTTCTTCAGTATAAACCTTTGTTGTGTACACCTTGGCACACGGACTCATTTCACACTATCAAGAAGGCGGCATCTGCGACCTCCGTGCTTCACCACTCAATGCTCACACTGTTGCACGGCTCACTCTTCTTATAACTCCGCTACCCTCGCTTGTGCCCATTCTTCTTCTCATCTTGCAACCATTCGATCGGTACATAGGGTGAGCTCATGAGAGTGCCTTGGCGCACAACAACAAAGCTCCAGTTGCGCTTCCTTTTCTAGTCGTCGGTTCCTTTTCTAGTCGTCGGTAGGGGTGCATGAGAGTGTTGTGGCACGCCTTTCAAAGATAACGAAGCAACGACCCCTAAAATGAACGAATGGCACTAACATTGGCCACGTCATTGGACTAGCGGTCGCACATACCCGTGAGAAAAGTGGTAACCTGTACTAATGCCAACCCTGCAATCCTGCAAACTGTCGGCTCAAAACCCTATAGAACATGAATGGTGATAAGTCTGAGAAACTACCGTCTTCAGCCAAATAGAACGCCCGATAATTATGACCGTATCTGGGCTCAAAGTTGTGCCAAGTACAGCTATAATGACTGGGCGTTATTCAGGTCAAGACGGTAGTCTAGTCTGCCACAGCCACTCTGCACACCAACTCAGCCACGGATAAAACCTCTGGAATCGCCGCTAACTTCTTCCCCCAAATAACAACGTACGCCCATTATAGCTGTATTCGGGCTACCTTCCCGTCTTGATGCACAGCTATAATGACCGTACGTTGTATTCGTGGGAAGAAGTTAGTACCGTCGTGGGTCTATCCTGAACAGATATAATCCAGCAAGGGGACTGGCAATCGTCAGGCACAAGTCGCGGGAACTGGTGATGTTTCATCAAGAGCAGCAAAAATCGACAGAGTAAAATGGCGAAAGGACTGCAAAGGACTGTTCTGTTGTTGTTGTTTTGGTCCCTATTGCGCACCGGTTTCTTATTCGGGTGCCATCACTATCGCTACCACTGCATTCAGCTGGGAATGTTGAATATTGAATATTCTCCATCTTAAAAAAAAAATGAAATCCAGCCAAAAGTCTTCGGTATCTTTGTCGAAGAAGTTGGCAAACAATCGGGCAAAAAAAAAAGAAAAGAAAATGACTTTAAAAAAGTACAAAAAAAGAGAACCCCGGAAAAACGTTTTTGCTTCGCGAAGATGCTGAATTCCAACGGCGCTGGATCTCTAAGAAGGATGAAATCGTCGAATCCCTAAATTTGTTTTTGGGAACAAATCGACTTGCTATTGCAATCGAAGTTATCATAACCAAAAACTGAAAAAAAAACTACCTCAGATAACGGTTTAGTCCAGTTAACGGGCCGCCCTCAAAATGACACACTAATACAATATACAATTTTTTGGAGAGCGCACGGATAGCTGTCAGACTTCTACTAATCAATGACGGAAGTCGCATCATCGCTGCACTTACTCTCCACGAAAGGACTCTTCTCTTCAGCTGTCGAGAGCACAAAAAGACAGCTGAAAAAGTAATGCAAGTCCGCTTTCCAAATTCTGGCACCCATCACACACCTATGACACCGAAGGGTTGTGCTTTGTTCCAAATTCTGGCACGCATCATACACGTATCATACACCTATGACACTGAAAAGAAAAGACAGTGTCATAGGTTCACAAGAGCGAACAGAGAAAATGCTGAGTGCCAGGGGACTCGCACAATCGTGGAGAGTCCTCCTCCTCCTTCGTGCTTTCTGACAGCTATACCGCCTCCACCTAGGAGGCGGTTGCAGGCCGGGGGACTCTCACAATGTATTTTCTCGACTTGGAATGGATAGTTAGTGGAGCCACGACCAAATCTGCAAAATTGCACAGTGTAGACTCTGTAGAGAATAGCAAAAAAGCCCATGGTAGAGGTAGTGTTAGTAATCGGGAGTTGGGGGGGGGGGGGGAAGGGAACTACATTCATTGCACCTGTCAAGTTGTTGATTCTCTTTGGCTATGCTTTCTTTTTGGTTCTTTTTGGTTCTTTTTGGTTCTTTTTGGTTCTTTTTGGCTACTCGTCTTTTTTCAAGTTTTTTGTCCTTTCATTCTATTTCCCCCCCCCCAACACTAATATTGTGACTTGATTCACAGGTCCTGACAGCGGCAAATGGTGGCAGAGGGTTCACAACTGGACTAGTTGGAACAAAACAGTGTGTTTATTAAAAATTAAAATTCACTAACAACGCAAACAGAAAATTGAAAATTCATTCCACGGAATCAATTTGGCACACACCTATTATCAGCACCTCTAAAATCCACCCAGAGGATTTCAAAAAAAAAAAAAAAAAAAAAAAAAAAAAAAAAAAANAAAAAAAAAAAAAAAAGCACACACCGTATTCGCCGACTTCAACTTGTGTCTTCAAAACAAACAACAGAAGTCTGGAAAACATTGTAAGAAATGTTAAGAAGAAAAAAAATATAATGAGCATAAAATGGAACCGACAAAAAATGGTATCAGTGGGATTCAAAAAAAAAAAGAAAATAGCGTAAAAACAGAAGCCAACGAAACAGAAAAAGAAAACATCGTCCCACTAGATTTTTAAGGTACAGAGGAGGATCGGTCACTGTAGCAATCGTTTCGTCCAGATACGGACGGCAATGATAACCGTACCGTACAGGGCTGTGATAGAGGCACTACAGTCCTCCGACAAATAGAATGTACTGTACCGTAATTATGCCCCTCTATCTGGTGCAACTTTCAGCCAGATACGGACGGCAATGATAGCCGTACACTCTACTCGGGGGGAAACGAGGGAAGACGGGAGAACACATTCGGCCTTTCCTTTCTCCCTTCATTCTTCTTTTATTTTGAATTTGTCTTTCTTCTCTTTGGTTCCGTGTCCGGGTCGCTCTATCCCTAAAGTTTTTGTTTTCTGAAGTGCCTGATCTGATCGGTGATTGTGTTTGGCCCCAAATAAAAATTCAAAAAGATTGCCCATGGAGCCAGGACCTTAAGGACCTTTTCAACAAAAAAAGAAAAGAAAAGAATTGTCGGAAAAAAACGAAATTGCAGACATCGGCAAGCACGTGCTCCGAGAAGCACAGGTCCACATGCACCACACGACCCACGTAGAGGAGCAATAATTCATGCCCAAGCGGAATAGCACCAATTCATGACGGCGGAAAAGAAGAGATTGTGGCGATCGATGGATCGATTCCAGCACTTACAACAACAATTGATTATGATGAAAAACGGGCGTAGCCAAAGAAAACACCGCCCATCGCACAACACACTCACTGTCCAGGAGAGGCCCTCCCTCATTCAGGACTCGCACACAATAGGCATGTTGCCGACTGCAACAAGGCCACACACTCCTCTTCCCCCCGCCCGCCCCCAGCCCGCCATATACTCTCTCTATCTTCCATCCTTCTCCACTACATTGTGAGCTGCAAAGTACCGTCGCCGCCGACTTGAGTCACGCCCACGGCACAACACTTGAATCTCGCCCACTTGACTTTTCTCCGAGTACACCAGGACAAAAGTTTCAACACGCTCAGACCCAAATCTGGCCAAGGTTTGCGATTGCCACTCTCCCTATGGAGAAGTCCACCGTTGTCGAGTGAGCTTTGCAGCGGGGGCAGCAGCAACCAGTTTTCATGCCACACCGCAACAGCTGCATTCTTTTTGTGGCCGATGTCTGCAATTGCCACTCCGTACGTAGCAGAGTCCTTCCAAGCGAACCGAACTGCCTCGGGCGGCAGAAACCAATTCTGTGATAATTGTGTTCTTATACCTCAAGTGAAGCCAAAACCACATTTCCTCAATCAAATACCTCCCCTCCCCAAATTTGCTTCTCTCCCACCAGAAAGAACAAACTTCGGCGTGCTCAGACCCAAATCTGGCAACTGTTTGCAATTTGCAACTCTGTAGCAGAGCCTCCTCTCTCTCTCTCTCTCTCTCTCTCTCTCTCTCTCCCTCCCTCCTGTTTGCATTTTGCTTCTTGGCACCAGAGTCCTCTCTCTCTCTCTCTCTCTCTCTCGCTCGCTCTCATCTGGCAACTGTTTGCATTTCAGCACTCTCTCTCTCTCTCTCTCTCTCTCTCTCTCTCTCTCTCTCTCTCCCCCCCCCCCAAGCGAATTGCCCCGGCGGCAACCAATTCTGTGTTGTCACATGGGGAACGCTTTTCGGTTCCTCGCCGAGCTAGCTAACGTCTACTAAACCCTTCGACTGCATTTTCAAGATCAAAGACCTTGCAAATTACAAGAGGATGACCTCACACATTAGTAGCATGCTGAGCAAGACCTTGTAGCCATATCTCAGCTATGACAGCACGCCAGGCACTCCTGCTGGACGCAAGGGGAAAAAAAAATTACCGCCTGATCTCCTAAAATCTGCAACCACCTTAACACTACGTATACTACATCCACAGCCTAACAAATACTAAGGAAAGGGACAGGGAAGAAGGCCGGGTGGGGTGGTCTGAAAAAAGAACAGAAAAGGAAAGAAAAAGACCAGGCCTGCCTTTCTTCCGCAAACTGCACGAAGTGTCCATATACCACCTCCTTCTCCCAACCTTCCACTCCTTGCAACCATCAGCTGCACGTAAACCCTCACTGCCAAACGGAACAGGGTAAGCCAATCAACTCAATCCGGCTCCTGTCCACAATCCACCCAGCTCTTGGCAACTATTATGAACACTCGAGGCACGGCCCAGGGAATGAAGTTACTGTTCTGAAGCTGGTGTCTGACGAACAGAACAGAAGACAATGCAACACACAAATTGACAGCGCAAAACATACGTCAGCATGCCCAACGGCGCTTAGAATTGAAATCTGTGTGCATGGACATTTGATCATCTCACAAAACACCATAGCTGAAGGTTAGCGAAGTCCGGAACCAACAATGCCGCTCCATTGCCGACACAGAACCTTTACAGGCCACATGACAGATGCTGTATACTAGGCAAAGCGCAAATGGACCAAAAATGGTGCATGAACCCCTAACAAGGCAAAGGGATATATACTAGGTGTGTTGGCCTCTTGTTCTGTTAGGAAGGCAAAGACGAAACATGATGCCTCGATCTCTGGTTCTATGATTCCGCTGATTTATGTTATGGCGAGGCCCAGGTCATGCTATGTTCATGCTGGGATATCATGACCCTGGTCGTCATGATGGTCACGGCCTTTAGAAGGAGACCCGTGTACATACTACAAACAACTCCAACCCCCCCCCCCCCTCCCCCCCTCCCCCTCCCTTTTCTAACTAAGCTGCTACTTCTCTCAATTTCACCATTCACTACCCACCTACCACTACTCCTAAGCCTATAAACAGGGGACCCTTGCAAACATGGCTACCTCTAAGACACTATAAAGGGGAGTAGTAACCGGGGGGTGGGGGGGTGGGGGGGAAGGGGGGCGGAAAGGGAGTGAGGGGGGTGTTAACACAAAGACCGAGCATTTGGCCAGTAGCTACACCTCTCATCTACTACTTCCCCCACCCCCATCGAGTAACATCAGTGCCTATGGCCAGAACTGTCCGAAAAACACACGAAACCACAATGGCCAAAGACCCTACGGATACCGACCAGGGGGGCGCAAGCCAACTATCTCTGTTGGTTGCCACCAAGCATTCCCAGGCGGTCAGTTAGGATCGAACCAACCACCTTCGGCATGCCACTTGAGTGCTTAAGCAACTGAGCAGTTTCCCCTTCATTTGAGTGACGCACCTGGAGGCGATTTTCCTTTCCCTTTATTTTTATTTTCTTAAACCACCAGTACATCCAGCTATCGGCCACGGGCCCTTGTCGGAGGCCGCCCGCCACCGATTCAATTTATCTACGGCGCTGGGCTTCCGTAATTTTCGTAGGCGATGAGTTTTCTTTTCAGCACGGCTGGGTCCGCGTACTGAAACTCCAATGTGTCCCGCGTATGACAGGAGATCTGGGAAAGGTCCACTATGGGCCCAACCGTTCGAGTCCTAGAAAGCTGCCTGTCGATAGCCGCCAAGCAGACAATGGACTGTTCTGTTGTTGTCGATTTTCATCACGGCTGGGGCCAAGCAAACGGAACAAACAGAACAAAAGCCAAAACCTGGGAAAGGTCTAATAACAGGACTACCACTGACGTGGGACGTTCACAGGCGACTACCACCGACAATGGACCTTCACAGTTGGCACCATCTGCAGTGTCCAATATGGGCCCACCCGTTCAAGAGACCCTCCTCTACTCACACCGCCTGTCCACCCACTGCCTCCAAATTCAGTAGCGCCATTTCGCAGAAATCAGTTTCGCCTACTCATGGCAGTGGGGCTCAAACAAATTGGAAAAAGCTAAAAAAAACTGAAACATTGTGCCAGTTCGTCGTCGGAACCCTTTTTTTTTTTTTTTTTGCCCGCAGAATTCAGTTTGCAATCAATGTTCTTTTTTTTTTTTTCCCCTAATCTCTTTCCTCAAACGATCAGCACCCAGTCCATGCGCCTCTTTTTCTTCAGATTTTTTCTAAGCACAAATACTTGCCAGAGTTGGCACACACCTTTTTTTTCGACTCACAAGACAACACTTTCAGGGCATACTCACACCAGGCCCTCAAAAGCGCAAAATCCCAAAATGAGCGGCTAGATCTAGTCCTTCCTTTACGGGGACGCAATCTTGCCGCTCATTTTGTAATTTTGCGATTTTGAGGGCCTAGTGTGAGCATGCCCTCAGAGCCGCAAGCACGCTGGCGTTTTAACAAAATAGGATAATCATGTTAATCAATGGCATACGGCAAGGGACCGTACCTGACAGCCGTGCAGGTATATACCCAATTATACCAACATATACATACACTAACGTATACCCACCCACACATGCCCATCTTCCTCCCAAGGTAGGGGGCTTTGTGGGCCCACCTCCCGCCCAACGTAGTGGGCTTTCGTGGGCCCACCTCACTCGCAAGGTATAACCAATTACACCTCTGTTTACCCAATCATACCCACGTATACCCCAAATACCCATGTATCCACATACACGTATGTGACAGCTGTGCAGGTATATAACCCACGTACACCCAATTATACCCACATATATCCCATACACCCACGTACCCACATACAACTACGTATACCCACACATACCCAGCTATACCCACCATCCTCCCAAGGAAGGAGGCTTTGTGGGCCCACCTCCCGCCCAACGTAGTGGCCTTTCATGGGCCCACCTCCATCTCAAGGTAGTGGGCCCACCTCACTCCCAAGCTATACCCAATTATACCTCCGTTTACCCCATTATACCCACGTATAATCCATATACACCCACCTACCCACATACAACTACTTATCCCCACGTATATCCCCCTACGTACCCATATCCTTTCATACATTTGCTGCACGGTAGGTACCCAACAAGCATAGAGAACTTACCATTGGGATACCTTCCTAAACTCTGTTAGCACAGGGTAAATATTCTCAAATGCTTCATAGATCTCATCGCGGACCTGCAAGAAAACCACACAGCATCACAGGCACTTCCTCAGCGCAAAATGTGACGAAAGACCACACTACACGAGTAGTGAGAAGCCTAACATTGCTACGGGGCCCAAATTCCATGCACAAAAGAACTCAGAAATGTGAATGAGAGTTTGCATCCTCCGCACCTCACCCTGTATTTCACCCCTTTGCGTTCACAGTCAGGACATGCGTTTCGATCCAGCGATTTGATTCGAGCAAAACAGATCCATTCAGTTGACGGGCGTAATACGCGCAATGCCCATTACCTTGGCTCCTGTCAAAACAATCTTCCCAGATACGAAGATGAGCAGCACGATCTTGGGTTGCTTCATTCGGTATATGAGACCTGGGAACAACTCTGGTTCATACTGGGGGCCATGAAACAAAGGCAGCGCAGCAACCCGTCAGCAAGAATAACCCTGATTCGCAATCAGCATGGGGGCTTAGCTCAGTTCGTAAAACCAATGAAACGCTGAAATACAAACCTAAGTTCAAGTCCAGATGCAATTAGATGCGCGCAAAACAAAGGAGGAGAATTACGTTGACATTTCCTCAAAAAACGAGGTCCAGGTATACACATCCGCAAAACCAGGTGCTGCACATGCGCTCTTCATTTTCACACACAGCAGTAAGCCTCTCCCAATCAGCAAATGTAT